GTGACATGTCACATCCTTTCTGATAGGACCAAATCTATTTGAAATGACCACACTAAAACCGATGTGACTCTATAGTATAGGCCTATACTGTGAGTGAATGAAATTTATACAACTTGTTGTAGAGTTGTCTCCAGTCAGTGTATGTCACTTCATTTGACCTTTGACCTGTAAATGTGTCTGGTGTGTGGAAAAGGTCAAGGTCAGTACCTATCAGTGATGACAGGTCTACAGCCTTTTCACACACAGCTAAAATTCTATAAACATGATTAGTTTAAAGGGCTTTAAACTAATCACCTGTACATATGACATCATTCACACACAGAAATTTCGTTGCGATCGATAATCGTTTCGTGATTGACTACTGCTCGTAAAATGCGCAGTAGTGCCATTGCGCATTGAAGGTCAGGTCATATCAAACAGAGCGCTCCCTCCCTCCAGTTTAAACACGTTTAAACACGAAAAACCGTTCACACACAAAATGTCAAGCTCTCTAGATACGAACTTCGTATCTGCAGCCTGCTTTTAGGGGCGTATAAATCGCCACTTCGTATCTATCCCAACATCGTATAAACGATGTTCACACAGGGAAAATTTTCTATAAACATGTTTAAAACTGTTGAATTAAACACGTTTATACTAATCATCTCTACAGGTAGATACGATGAATTTTAGCTTTGTGTGAAAAAGCTGCTAGTCTTCTTCAATCTCGTGTACAAAACTTGTATGAAAGAACGTTTTATAAACTATTAAGAAATGTATAAAGAAACGATGTACATGTACATGTACGTGTACATATATTAAAGAAACGTTGTATAAGCTATAAAGAAACATATAAGAAACGTTCTTTAAGAAAGGTTGTATAAACTATAAAGAAACTTTCTATAAAGAAAAAATGTATAAAGAAACGTATAAAGAACTGTTGTTTAAAGTATAAAGAAACGCTAAAGGAGGAAACTTTAATAAACATGTAAAAGACATTGTATAGCGAAAGGGGCATACAGATCACACAAAAAACATCGTACAAAGAAACAAGTTTTGAAGAGGTCGTTTAGCCAATCACCAGTGTGTGATCATGATAAGCTACATTTACTATATCGTCCTTGTTTTCACGAAGTGACGGTAGTGAGGAAAATCGTAACGCAAAGTGAATGCAATTTTTTTTCACTACCGTCACTTCGTGAAAACAGCGACGATATGTAGACCCTGATTCTGTATTTGGGGTCTTTGGTTGAAACGATGCTCAAACGCGCACTTTGCTGTACTACCTTTCGTTTTAAATGCGAGGATTCTTTATACGTCATTCAGACTATGAAAAATATAATTCTTTTTGTATACATGTACATGTAGCTATACGGCGCATTCTGATAGTCTGAATGTGTGGAAATGTCCTGTATTGTCTACTTTCACCTAAAGCCATTTGTTCACGATGCAATCTGGTAGAATCTGCCCTAGTCGTTGAATTGCACACGCTGTATATCTCTATTAATCAATCTCATAGAACTTAGGCAGAGTTGAAAGATTCCGTACAAGGAAAATGTGAATACGAAGTGTGCAAAAGAGATTGGAAAAAAAAACCTTAAGATTCTCGACAAGGGTCGCAATTTAAGTCATATGATTCTCAACAATGGTCGTGTAACTCGCGTTACATAATTTTCGTGATGTACCGGTAATCAAATTTTTTGTGATGTAATGTGAATGAAATAATTTGTAACGTGGCACTTTGTACATTAAATTTGATTACATTATAAAAATGGCAAATTCAGATCGTATGAGTTCATACATATATTAACAATCTTAGGGAGGTGAAAACCGAACCAACCAACCTTCATTTTAATAGTCAACATGATCTTGTATGGCTTAAAGATAAACTTGAGTTCTGGTAAAAATATAAAATGAATTCTCACAGAATCAAACGAAACTTGCACTGAATGTTCAAGATTACAAATAAATGTCATTTGCCAAACAATTTTGGTAGAAAAATGTATACTGGCTGAGTAATGAGCATAGAAAGATAAGGAAATCAAGGTACATGTAGGTAACCCCGACACCATTTGTGTAGTCCCATAGTCTGTGTATAGTGCTTGTAACTTTACCAAGACTGGGCCACATTTCATTTTGATGATTCCAGAACCTTGCACTACACACCAATACATATATACTTATATGCTACATGTAGATGATCAACCTTTTCTGATCGATTTCACACCGTTTCTTTCGCAATGTGAATGCAATTGCATGACCAGTACTCAACTTTAACTTTAAATACTATAAACACACCTGACATGTAGTGTGCATGCACAATCCCTTGTCAGTCGTTGTGCGTAACATTGTCTGTAAAATGAGACTATAATGAGATCTGTACTGTAACTGCCACTCCTGACGCAGCCAGAAATTTACAGATCTAGGCTCTGCTCAAGGCTTAATGAATTGTTGTTAAGTGTCATATCAGAGTCTGTGCTGCAGACTACAACTGGTACGGTATGCATGTAATTCAATTCACTTCAATTCAATCATATTTTTGTTTCCAACAAAACATTACAAATCAATTATAATCATTTACACAAATTAAGGAATACATATTGGAAACAGGGGTCTATTGAAAAGCAATGCTTGTACAATTGTGAACCCCTCAAATGATAGTTAGGAGTAATGAGTATTTCAATTGGACTAATTTGTAACTACTAAAAGGAACTAGAAATAGGACAAAAAGGGGATGCCAACAGAGATAAAAACGGGACAAGAGAGTATTTTACATGACAAAGAAAGGAGAACACAGCCAGAATACAAATTACAAAGCATAGACAATGCCGAAACAGAAGTGAGAGACGGGGGTACAGAAATAATACAATAGGATGAGCTACAGTGTACATGTTGGGTTGAGAAGAAGATGAGGAAGGGGATTTTCGCATTAGAAAGGAGATACAGGTGCAAGTAATGATTACTTGTAAATGAGTACTTCATTAATTCCTTGTGCTCTCATTCCTCCTTGAGGCTGTTCACACCGGTAGAGATAGCGCGCGCTAGACCGAGCTATCTCTGCGGTTTGGAAGGTACAACGTCGTTACGGTCCTCCCAACAGCGAGCCACGGCGAGCCAAAATGGCGTGCCACTGGAGCACCTCTTGGGGGTGGTCCACGAGAGATAGCGCGGTTTAGCGCGCGCTAGAAAAAAGGGGGTGCTACGATAGACCGCGCTATCTCATTGCGGTGTAAACAGCCTCCTAGAGTGCTTAGTTATGAATGAGCTCCATTAACTGATTTAGACGACAGCCCTGGCAATTGTTAGTTTGCAGGCGACAAACCATTGTCCTTCGTTTTGCGTAAAGGTGTCAGCAATTTGAGACTAGGCTGATAGCAAACTGTAAACGTGGTAATATTCGCGGATTTCGCGCAAAAGTCGGTGTCCACAAAATGAGCATGACTTCTTTTGCGTGTTTTGCGCGGGCTGAATTGCGTGCAACTAAAATTTAAGAACCCGCGAATATGTTTTGGGGTCGCTCAGCGCGAAAAATTTATCACGCAAAAATAACAGTACCGGTACTGCATAGGCCCTGTACTCTGTAGTCTGTACACAGTCAGATTTGAACCCGCCATTTACTGCTTGCCGGGCAGTGACACTACCACCAGGCCATTAGTGGTCCATGGCAAATTCACAATGAACTGGAAACAAATACCTCAGCTCTCCTGACTCATTCTCACTTATTAATATTCATCAGTCCTACCTTAGTACAATAGCTTTGAATTTTAGGCTTTCTTGATAGAAGTTTCAATCGTTGTAAAGAGATTTTAGGCTTGCACCCAGTAGATAAAGATAGCGTGATTGATCTTGTAATCGAAAACAAGTCAGAAAAAACATGTTTTATTGGTTTTAGTCAATGAACAGGTTCATCAAAACAGAAATCTACTACAATAAGAGGGAAACCAATATAAAAGTTGATAAAGATTGTGGATGCTTAAATACAGTGGAAATGAGTTCAATTAATTTTGATCTTTGTCCCATGGTCTCATCATATATTGATATCAACAGCTCTTCTTCCGTTGTAGAGCCAGTGACCGATGCAAGATTTACAGTCTCCACCTCTGCCCGACTTTCAGGCAGATGACTACATTGTCACCCATAGTAAACAATTATATTCTTAGATGCTGCTTATAATACATGTACTGTACACTGTACACGTAGGTATCAGCTTGTATGGTGATGTAAAACCTACTACATTTATATAATGATATTCTTATTGTTTGTGTTCTGCACTGTTTATTAAATATTTGTGCAGGGAGATTTGGAGTGGTCAATTTAGGATAACTTACAGGAAGATTTTCAAATTTTAGCTATTATAATGTTGTTAATGCATCTAATCATGATTAAAAATGATGATCTTATGAAGATGTCAAAGGTCTTGATACTATAGCAATGCTACATACTGGTAATGATACATAATGCTACATTATAAAAACAAATAGTAATCATTAGACAATTGTCGTGATGGAACTAAATTTATGTATATCAAAGTGCTTCGATACGGATTATTTCCTTCACCTGATACAAATAATTATTTTTGATAGTCAGAATGCAAATTGCATACATACTATTGAGATTCATTTTATTCGTAACAGGTGAATGAAATAAGAAGTATCACTAGTCGCTTCTTTTCTGTCTTCCTTTACTTTTTTCTATTTAATGTCTGTTTCCATCATATATTCTTGCTAATTACTGTGTAAAGGTGTATGTACATGTATGAAGTTTTACTCATTCTTTCATATTCTTTGTCAATTCTAATTCTTATTCATTTCTCTCTTTCCTTCTGTGTTATTTTGATTTTTCCTCCTTTCATCTTTTTCTATCCCTTCCTCTGTACATTTATTTTCTAATGTGATTCTCTGTTCTGTCAGTCACCATCAATGATGGTCTGATTGGGCTATCGATCTAGTGGGTTGTTGGCCAAATGTATAAATGCTTATTTATATGAAGATTGAAGACAATGATATGATAATTACTGTTGAGATGCAATTAAGAAGTGAGGAGCGTTTTCCTTGACCGGTACCGTGCTGTATATGTCCCAACATTATTGTGGGTTGTTGGCCAAATATATGGTATGAATGCACATTTAAATGAAGATTGAAGACAATGATGTGATAATTACTGTTGAGATGCAATTAAGAAGCGAGAAGTGTTGTTTTCCTTGACCTGTACCGTTGTAGATATATGTCCCAACATTATTGCCATGGGATTCCCAGCGGAGAGCTTAGAGAGGATGTACAGAAATGATATGGAACATGTAGTCAAGTAAGTTCAATATGCTGTTTCACATTGCTAAAGTTTTATTAACTTTAAAAAAAAGAATACTTCAGGTCCTATGATAGATCCTTGTGGTACATGAAAACCCACATTTTCTTAATACCTGTAGCATGGATCATTTACCTTTTAAATTTGGTATCTACCTGTATGCCATTCTTTTTAAGAAAATTTATTATGATGAAAGAATTGTTAAAAGTTTTATCTACTTAAAAAAAAGAATACTTCAGGTCCTATGATAGATCATTGTGGTACACCCACATTTTGTATGAATTATTTCAGGATGATATAGTTACGTCATATATATGATTGTGTAAACACTGAAGAATTGTATGGTCAAATTACATGTATATAATCAAATCAAGTAATCTTGTGTAATCAAATCATGTTATCATGTAATCTTGTGTAATCAAATCAGTGTACATACAGTATAAATGTCTGTACCTATTCTGATTAAATTCAGTTGTATGTTATGTATGATTATTTTTTGTGAACACTGTGATACATAGCGTACTAAATACTAGTTTTTATAATTATTATGTAATCTTGTGGAAAATTAAATGAAACTGTCCTTTTCTTTGCTTTATTTTCAGGTTTCTGAACTCACATCATCAGGATCATTACAAAGTATACAACCTGTGAGTATGGCAAATGAGCTTATTTAAACGTCATACTACTTTCATTTTGCAGCCAAAAGTGAGCAGAAAGTGGTTTGAGGCTGGACATATCCACTTATAATTGTATGGTCAATTACAAATTTGAAAGTCTAGATTCGATTAAGACTTCTCTACCCATTTTGAAGTGGGTTAGAAGTGGATAAGTATTGACTATAAGTTCATCTGTGAAGTTAGGGCTATACTTGCTTGTTATCGTGACTATAATTTTATTTTCCAAGTAGATATTTCTTAAAGCTAATCTAGGTTCCTGAAAGTTTGGGAATAAAATTGGATTTCAAGAGAGACTGGTGTAATGTAAATCTTATTTTTTTATGAATGTGATGCAGGAATTTAATGTAAATCATTGAAATATAAACTACTATACAAAATTACAAATGTTCTGAAAATCACATAAACTAAGACGCAGTTAATGCATGTAGGTTGAAACTTACTAGCTCAATTTCACTATCTTTCCTTGTCAATAAAGAGCTATTATAAATTAAAACAACATAATGTTTAGCAGACATCATATATTTGCTACGTTGAACAGTTAGTTTTACAAGTTTCATTTTATTTTGTTAGAATATTATGTATTTTCTATTTTTAGTAGATCTCAAGCTTACCTTTCAGTCAAAGGCATAATGAAATTAACAAATAGATTTTTTTTTGGCTGGATAAACTGAATTTTTTTCTAATTATTTTCTTTCCCTAATGCTAGGTGCTCAGAGAGGAATTATGATACGTCGCGATTTGATCATCGAGTGGCCCACTATCCATTTGATGATCATAATCCTCCTAGGATAGAACTTATTCGGCCATTTTGTGAAGATGTCATGCAGTGGCTGGCCGAAGACAAAGACAATGTGGCAGCCATTCATTGCAAGGCAGGCAAGGTAAGGAATCACGCTTATCTTGATTGTATTTAAGGGCGTGTTCATGCTTAACTTTTTCTGGCCAGAATCAGGCATCTGTTACGCGTTTAGTTTAAAACACGGTTGCGTCCATGCTCACTTTTGTAGAATCACCGAAAAACAGCGATCACGATCGCCGATCGTAAACTCACAAAAACATACGTTTACAATTTGTAAACTCGTTTAAATGAGGTCAACGCACTGACCTCTAGTGGGTCTGCGTAGCATGCACAGTGAAGGTTTGCGAATCCAGCTGGAAGACCAATTAAGGCCACACAGGGAGAATTGCCTGAAGGAGCCGGAGAAGTGAGCATAAACAGTACATCGTGGAACTGCGATTACGATGAGCATTTACGATGAGCGTTACAAATCGCTTATTCTACCTTCAAAATCAAGCATAAACGCAGCCTCAGTCAAATAAAGATATTTTCGGACATCAAAGGGTCAAGGACAAATCCATAAGTTGTTAAAGGGTGTTGCATGGCAAATACTGGTTAACACCATCTCCTGCGTCTTTGGACAACTGCACGTACACGAATGGACTTGATTAACGGTCAGCGCGTGTTAGAGTTGGTGAAACAGACCGAAGTTCTCCTCACGCTTCGGTTTCGCATATGTTGCGCGCACGTGAATACTGCGGTCGCGTCGTCTGTAGTCGTATTATACCCGATTTGCCCCGAGTCAGGCCACGGGAAAGACACGTAGTCTCATCATGCTACACCCCCTCTTACTTCACATAAAGCCGCAACCACTACCAATTATACACTTTTCAATGATAATCATTCTTTATCCGTGAATCATGAACTCATTACTGAGTATCATAGCTTTCATTGTCATAGGAGTAACGTGTTCTTTTATAATTGAGATACTATAAACAAAAATGATTTCAGGGCCCTATGTTATGAAGAGTTGCGGTTGATCACATCTCTTTTTGAATTTTACTTTACTATGAATTTGATATCTGAAGATTATTAACATACAATGATGAGCTGAGAATGTCTTTAATCCATGAATTTAGAAGAAGCCATACATAATTTTGAAATGAATCTACTCTGAATTGTAAGGATTCATTCCACTCAGGTACATCAAGTACCAGGCCCGGAGCACTTGTCTGAATGCATAGAGAGGACTAGTCATTTATATATTTTTGAACCTATTTTTAAGTACCGATTGTCTACAATGATGAGTTGAGAATTTCATTATTTTAACCGATGAAATTAGAAGAAGCCGTACATACTCATGATATGAGCCTACTCCAAATTGTATGGATTCATTTATGGATTCATTCCACACAGGTACATGTACAGCAGGCCAATGGCACTTGTCTTAATGCAGAGACAGGATTACTCATTTGTATATATATATTTTCCCCACTCTGCTTGCCTGTTATATGGCTTTTTAATCTAAATTAGAAGAAGCCACACATTCTTAGGAAATGAATCTACTCCAAATTGTATGGATTCATTTATGGATTCATTTATGGATTCATTCCACACAGGTACACATACAGCAGGCCAATGGCACTTGTCTTAAAGGTATTACAAAGTTTTGGGAAATTTTGAAAAATGGGTGGATGTGATTCTTTACAATTTTGATATATTTGGATGCCCCTGTGGATGTATTAAAAACACCAGAAATTTTAGCCACTAAAGCACTTCTGCTTTTGAGAGAAATTGAATATAAAGATTTACTGGTGCTTCCAGTAAATTTTGATAAATTTCAAATAGCTCCTACGGCCGTACAATGGTAGCTGCGACCATGAAAATCTCAGAGTATGTAGTTGTGGTATATAATTTCCGAACGAGAATAGCTAATTGGTCGATTTTAGTCAATAAACATTGTTTTATAGGTTAATTAATATCTTGACCTTGAGAGGGAGCTATTCAACATAAAGTGTTTATTATTTACAATTTCATAACTTTAGAGTCAATTTTCGACCGTGACAACGATCACTGAATATTGTAGGAACGTATATGCTTCCAATATGTTCATTTGAACCAAATTCATGACCCCATACCAAAACTTTGTATTACCTTTAATGCAGATACAGGATTACTCATTTGTATATTTTCCCCACTCCGTTTGCCTGTTATATGGCTTTTTAATCTAAATTAGAAGAAGCCACAATATGAAATGAATCTACTTCGAATTGTATGGATTCATTCCACTCAGGTACATCAAGCAAATCCAAGGCACTTGTCTTAATGCAGAGACAGGATTACTCATTTGGATATACATGTATATATATATTTTCCCCACTCCGTTTGCCTGTTATATGGCTTTTCAATATAATCAGAAGAAGCCACAATATATGAAATGAATCTACTCCAAATTGTATGGATTCATTCTACACAGGTACATGTACATCAAGTACCAGGTCCAGAGCACTTGTCTGAATTCAGTATTAAAGACAGGACTACAACATTGAAATATATTTTCTTTCCCACTCTGTTTGCCTGTAATATGGCTTTCGAATACTGAATACCAGGGGGGTGTTTCACAAAGATCCTAAGTTGGACTTAGAAATTATGGACAGCCATTAGAGCCTTAAAATGAAATATATTCAAAAGCAGAAATTCAAGTATTTTAGACTTTGTATAAATTCCACATCCAGAACATGAAATCTCCTTGATATAGAAAATATGAATGATTTGAAGTAACATTTTATGCCTTTCACAATAACTTTTACAAAATATTTTCAAAGATACTAATGGCTTTCCATAATTTTTAAGTCCAACTTAGAGTTAAGTTCTACTTAGGATCTTTGTGAAACACCCCCCTGGTGTCTGTTCAGAGCCAGAAGGGCGTTAACTTTGTGTTAAGGTATATGAGTTAATGCCCTTCTGGCTCCAAACAGACGCTATTATCATACCAATCTCTTGTTCTTGCCAGACATCGTTTGCCATTCATTTTGATAAAATAAATACTGCCATCGAGTTGTATTTCATGTTCATCTTTTCTGTGGATGCACATTGATATACATTGTGCATCGTAAATGATGACAAGTTTGATTAAATAAATGGAGGATCTCTCATCCTTTGATGCTTCAATACATGTATAATGTTTCAGATCTTTTAACATGAAACGGGATGTAATTTGTAAAGTGTGATTGGGTGTATGAGTATTATCCCATATGAAATGAAAATATCTAGGTTTTTTTAACACCGCCTCTAATTAAGAAAAAATCTTGAGTAGAAAATGGGGCATACCTGTGAAAGTAGCTAATGAGCTGAGCTAATGAGGGAAAAACACCCCATTATGACTCTAATGAGCTTCCTATAACTGGCAAATGCATTATGGGAAGGTGGGTATGATGGGAAATAAAGATGTCGTCCTTGTAAAGTTTGAGCTCGTGCAAATGAGACGGGACCATTAAAACGACTAACTCCACGACGTGATGGCCATGTAGCAGCCAAATTGGAATTTAATGCTCTAATGAGGAAGAGCGAGGTTGATTTCCAGCGTATAATAGGTCTGAAACACTTCAGTTTCTGACCATTACACTTTCAGGTGTATTTAAATTCATTGTCTCGCTACATTCCTCGCTTCCAACTTGAAGCCTCTCTAAATTTGCTGGGAGCCCCAAAAATTTGATGGCAAAATTTCGCTTTAATTGTATCATAATGTGAATTAGGATGTCATTTTAAGACACATTTCTGCAAGGATTTTCAAAACAAATGTGGAATATTGATAAAAGAATACAAAATTGAGGTTTTCTGTGTAAAAACAGAAAACCCAAATTATGTATTCTTTTATCAATATTTGTCTTCAAACACATTTGTAGAAGTGTGTCTTAAATGACATCCTCTTATACAATACAGGAAAATCATTAGTTGGACATTTTGAGGAAAGAAAATGTAGCCTTGAATGTAGGCTAGTGAAATGTTGGAAAATCGTTTTGTTGGAAATTTGAAGAAAAAGAGGAATGTAACCTTGAATGTACAGGCAAATATAACGTAGAAAAATCATTTGTTGAAACTTTAGAGAGAGAGAATAAAAGAATGTAGCCTTAAATGTAGTCAAGTGTAATGAAGGGAAATAAATTTTTTGGAAATTTAGAAGAAATAGAATTTAGCCTTAAATGTAGGCAAGTGTAATGTAGGAAAATCATTTGTTGAAAATTTTGAGAGAGAAAAAAAAGAATGTTGTCTTGAATGTAGGCAAGTATTATGTAGGAAAATCATTTGTTGGAAATTAAGAGAGAGAGAAAAATAATGTAGCCTTGAATGTAGGCCAGTGTATTGTAGAAAAATAATTCTTTTTCACTTTCTACAAGTACATGTGTTAACACGTTTCAAATCCTAAAATATTGAAAAGATATTGCGCAGTCATGACTTCTTGAATAATATTTTATTGATATATGTAACAAATTATTAATGAATGCTTGAGTGAATAATGAATAATTTGGATGTTTCGTTGATTTTGATTTCAGGGAAGGACAGGGGTAATGATCTGCGCCCTGTTACTCCATCAGGGTCGGTGTCTTACGGCAGCAGAATCCATGGAATATTATGGCAAGATCAGAACTACAGATGGAAAGGTAAAGTCACAAACATTACATAATACAGTCAAACCTGTCTTTAGCGACCGACAAAGTGGTCTTTGTAGACAGGCTCCTTTATTACATGTTTCAATGAGAAACCATTTTCAAGGGAAACAAAAAAAGTGGGCTTTGTAGACCCTGGAGCTAAAAGTTCGTCTTTGTGAGGCAGAGTTTTGGTCAAGTGAAGGCAGATTCACATCAAACCTCCTCTAAACGTTCGTTCTAGACCAAAACAGGCTTACTTAAAATCATCGGGTCATCACGTCGGGTCGGGTAGTCTCCGTTTCCCCGACCTTTTGTAACAACATGCCCCTTTATACACAAAATGTCACGAGTAATGTTCGTGAAATAAACCTCTCTCATCTACAAATGGTCTGGTCCAATTTACCAGACACTTTGTAAAAACCCTTCAGCAAATCTACGAAAGATCGCGTTTTGTTTCACGAAAGGTTGTGTAATGCGACCACTCACTGGACATGATGACCCGATGGTTCGAAGTAAGCCAAACAATAGGAACAACACAAATTAACATTGGTCTTGGAACAGAAAGTTTGTCTGTGTCAGAGAGTCTGTATCATGTGGAGGCATTGGTCTTATTGTAGAAGTGTTGTAGATGGGTTGTTCAAGCACTTGACTTGAAATTCAAAGGTCATGGTTCGATCCCCGACATGGCACTAATGTCCTTTAGCAAGACTTTGATTTACATTTACCACTCAATACCCAAGAGAGAAATGGTGACCCGGTAGGATGACGAAAGCATTTGTGTTAGTAATTGCCTATGCCCTCACGGTGACAATATGGTAGGAATATTCCCCATGGAGTGGAGATTGTGCACATTATGCGTGAATGAATCCGATGACCGGGGTAATAATATTTGTTAAGCGCTTAGAGACGATATACTGTATTAAGCGATATATAAATCCAATTTTTATTATTATTATTATTGTCTCCAGGCATGACTAGAAGAACTCTAATATATTTTGATTTTCATGAGAATTATTTTTAGATGTCATGATCGAAGTGAATGCAAACGTTCATGAATTATTATTTTTTTTGACCAGGGAGTTACCATTCCAAGTCAGAGGAGATATGTACAGTACTACGGGGAGCTGGTGAAACGCAACACACTATACAAAACACAAACGGTACTTCTGAAACGCGTGCAACTCTATACGATACCTATGATGAGCAGTGGAACATGCTGCCCTTTCTTCACGGTCCACCAACACAAGGTCAAAATTCATACTCAGGAAGCTGTGAAGGTTAGCATGTTCTCTTTGTTTTTTATTAGTAATTGTTTATCTATTTATTTTTTTATTTCCAGGCAAGATGATAACAAAACATAAAAAACATCACAGGATTGAAAAAACAATATAACATTAACAGTATAATATTTAGCTCCAGCCAATGCCTGGAGATCACCTTAAAAAAATTAAACAATTTTGTTGAGAGGCTCTCCACATTGGCTGTTGCATATATAAAGATAAGGTAAACATATACATGAATGTGTAACTAATATTAACCCTCATATCAGGCACATGTGAGGGAGATCAGAAGCAAATACTTTTATGTCATACTTTTATGTCATACAATTATTAGGAATTGATATAGTTTGAATAATTGAAATCAATAAGAGAAAGAGTATTTTCTTTTTCTATCTTAAAGGTAACCTTTGTTTCTGCTAGTGGAAAGGAAATTTTAGTCGCTACGCTTATTTGATTGTTGTGTTCCTATCCCCAATTAAGAAAATTGCCATTTCTGGTGATGATGATGACCGAAACTTAATTGTTCTTGATTGCACATCAGCCATAGATGCTAGCAGAGAGAAAGTTCTTTTGTCACCCATTAATTTTGCCATCCACTTGACACCTGGGGGGCGTTTCATGAAACAATTAGTCGGTGGTTTTCACTGACTAATATCATGTTCACCGACAATTTAGTCAGCGCTGACTAAATTTGACCAATCACAGTCCTGGAAAATAGTCGGTGACAAAAGAATTGTCGGTGAACATGATATTAGTCGGTGAAAACCACCGACTAATTGTTTCATAAAACACCCCCCAGTTAATTTTTTTGGGGAGGCTTTGTTCCTGAAGTTACCATGTATTTTGTTTAATTACGGCTTTTGTTCATTCTTGACTTTTAACCTCGTAAAGTGCTTAGCAGATATGGCGCGACAAAACCGTGGCGGCTTAATCATGATGATGTAAAGTGTAATATGCTTGACAATTTTGTATCTAATAACACAGACCTAAGTGAATATAATGTACGTCAGGACTTTGTCGCGCGTAGTTGCCATTCGTTTACATGTAAGAAAAACAACACCATGGTTCACCTCTTCATATCTGACATTCATAATTTGCTTATTATCGGTCAGATTAATTTCAAACTTTCGCCATTTTTTTCCCCCTATTTTTCTTGCTTTCATACAAATGAACTTATTACAAAGGCTGGATTACTCTTTAGTAGGATCTTGAAAGCCATTTAATACCATTCGGGCCACCTGTGTATGGATGTATAAGTATGAAGTGGAGCAGAGAACACGAGCCTTGTGGTAGAGTTTTGTCGATTCTGAACTTGCTCACAAAATTATGGCAGTAATTTAATTAATCTTTTCTGAATAATCTTTATTTCTCTTTCAGGGGGTCAAGAAAGGGCTGAGCTGTGTTGAGTTTGAGCTGCCCCACGCATTGCCCATACGAGATGACGTGAAAATAGAATTCTACCATAAATCAGGGCTGCTCAAAATGGTAATTATTTATTTGTGAACTCCTGATTTCTTTTTTTAAGATGTAAAGGGTATTGATTACCGGTAGACATGAATTAATATAATGCTACAGCAGGTTGGTCCACCAACAAAAATTCAAACATGTATTGCAAAATTGGAACGTGGAAGGAGTATGAAGCAATGTATGCGAAGCAAGAAATCCCTTATGGCCTAACTCCAGTGGAGTGTTTCACAAAGACTAAGATCGACTTTAAGTTGGACTAAACTATGGCAGGCCGTTCATGCCATTTTCCCCTCTCACCATTATGATCTTTAGATATTTTTTCCTTCAATAATGAACTACCAACAAAATATAAATTTTGTAGATTTGTGACCATGATTTGTAAGTCTCTTGAGAGACCAATGCCAGTAAATGGTGAGAGCAAACGATGGCATGAACAGCCTGCCATAGTTAAGTCCAACTTAAAGTTGATCTTCGTCTTTGTAAAATGCTCCCAGGTCTTGTCTAAGGGCTCCAAGGTTCTTAGATGCACTCTGGTGCGATCTAAGCCATATTTTAAAGTATTTTCAAACACATTTGTATTCAATATTTCATAAATAATTTTGGTTGAGAATGATCATGAACCTCTCGCAGACACTCAAAGTCAAACCTTTACTGTTTAAAATTCAAACCTATCGCTGTTACATATTTAAACACCTCTAATATGGACCACCCTGGCTATAGAAAAATGTTTTATAATTCATCGCATCATTTTCTCTAAAATCGTTGAAGCCAGCCAGGTTCAACCATGTTGTAATCCCTGATCCAAGCAACAGATGTCAAGTTCATAATTGACCTGATGCTTCCCTCGTATAAACACGCCCAGAGTATAGACTCGAGTGCAGGGGGGTGTTTCACAAAGACTAGGATTAACTTTAAGTTGGACTTAACTATGGCAGGCCATTCATGCCAGTGTTTGCTCTCACCATTTACTGGCATTGGTCTCTCAATGGACATACAAATCATTGTCAATTCATTATTGAAGGAGAAAATATTATCTAATGATCATAATCGTGAGAGCAAACAGTGCCATGAACAGCCTGCCATAGTTAAGTCCAACTTAAAATCGATCTTAGTCTTTGTAAAACACTCCCCAGGTCTTGTCTAGAAGGGCTCTAAGGTTCTTAGATGCTCTCTGGTGCAATCTGAGCCATATTTTGAAGCATTTTCAAACATATTTTATTCAATATTTCATAAATAATTTTGGTTGAGAGTGGTCATGAACCTCTTGCAGACACTCAAAGTCAAACCTTTTCTGTTCAAAATTCAAACCAATCGCTATTACATGTTCAAACACCCCTTATAGACCACTCTGGGCTATAGCACTTTTCGTTTATATGGGACATGGCATCGTTTTCTCAAATCATTTTCAAAATAGTGGAAGCCTGGTTCAACCATGTTGTATATACCTGATCCAAGCAACAGCTGTCAAGTTCATAATTGACCTGATGCTTCCCTCGTATAAACACGCCCAGAATTAGGAGTATAGAGTGCAGAATTTTTAAATGTTTTGAGAGGTCTGCAGAGTAGTTTAGAGAGGAAGTTATAGGAGCGTTGCACCTTTCCTTCCTGCTTCAAATCAAAAGCAATACATTTTTTTTTTTACTTGGCACTTAAAGGCAGTCATCAGATTCTTATATCATAGTAGATATCATGTAGATGTCATAGTAGATATCATGTTGATTGTATGTTTGTAATGAATTTGTTGTGTACGTTTTCATCATGTTCCAGTAATTAACATGAATGCTTGCTAACCACACAGTGAAGAGGCACTACTCCATGATACATGTGTTGAATCAGGTTGTTAAAAATTAGCCTTCACAATGTTTCAAAGCAATAAAATGTGAAAACATTTTTGTAAATTTCTAGATAATCAACGTTCTAGTTTTATGCTATGATGGGGCTTTACTTGGCAGAGCTCAAAAGACCAGTTCACAGTATGGGTAGCACATGTCCCAAATGACCCTGAATATCCACAGATCTTCAAAATATTAAAAAGTCCCACTTTGTACATTTTGAAATAATCACTCCTACAGCGATGGAGGTGCTACATATAAATAGCCTTTGTTTCCCCTTTTCAAAGAATACTTCCACCTGTGTATCATGGAGTGCACCACTTGTGCATAAATGAATAATGATTACATAACTTTCATGGGCACGTATCCAGTATTTTGTCTTTGTGTATTTCACATTTTGCTCTGGAATGACCTTTATCTGCTCATGCTCAGACTGGAACTATGAACTGGCTCATTCCTTTAATATCATGCGCCATCTTGTGAAGTAAGAGTAGTATGGCGTAAGGAGAAATGGAATATTGGGAATTAATTATTTTTAGCATAATCATTTTTGCAGACTCTACTCATTTAAAAAAAGTTCCTGATGAATAATAGACATGAAAGAGCTGTTTATTATTCTGGGGGAGGGGGGAGAAAGTGTTCCTAGATAAGTAGATACATGTATATTGGTTGATAAGCTCATATGATTGTTACATTTTATGTCTTAGAAAAAGAAGGTATTTTGAAACATTGACTTTTATTTTGAGAATATGAATTTCAAATTTGTATATCTTTTTCATTTTCAATTTTGATGTCAATTCCCTTTAAAAAAACATGCAAATATAGACACATAACATAAATACAAACAGTTCAATATATATATCAAAAGTAACACATGGGCATAAGGTAATAATAATAATAATAAACTTTTAAAGTGCACTCCAAATTTTATTAAGTTAAACCAAAAATTGAAATTCTTTTTGCCCAGTTGATCGTGAGCCCGGCAGCCACTGAGCAGCGCCAGATCGGCGTTGCTCTATCCCTTTATTGTTGAACGCCAAACAAGGTAGCAGCAACTCCCGTCTTTTAACGACTTTTGGTATGACGCAGCCGGGGTTCGAACCCACGACCTCCCGGTTGTGAAGTGGACGCTCTACTGACTGAGCCAAAACACCGGTGATAAGTAAACTGTGATAATTAAACAAATGGAAAAAGGAACTCCTGTCAAAAGCTTGTTTTAGCTTGCAAGTCTAGAGTGTTCTAGCAGAGTTTGATTCTTCTTCTTTTTGATACGATCTTACAGGATAAACGGCTGATGTTCCACATGTGGTTCAACACCTACTTCATTGTGCACCCAATCCAACCCGACAAGGACTACTTCGGTCAGGCGCGATCTCACTCCAGGCCCACCAGCACGGTCTCCTGTCCCTCACCCGACCAAGCGAGAGCTCCCTTCGCCGAGGATGAGATGCTGAACGGAGGGGAGGAGTTTGTCTTGGAGCTGCACAAAGACGAGATAGACAAGGCCAACAAGGACAAGACAAACAAGGTCTTCTCTCCAAATCTTAAGGTACGATATGCCAACACAAATATTTTTGTCTCCTTTTAAAGTTGATACTCTAAGCAAATAAATGTCCCTTAATTTGTTACCTACGGCAAGTATATGTTATTTTTAAGTTTTTCAATTACTTAGTATATCACAAAAAAAATCTGTCTACTCGAAATCCTCAATTGAAATGTCGAAAATATCCGCCTCTTGCATAGAAAATCAGTCACGGCGCTGGTCTACTATTTATGACCTCACGTCCGGGAAAGAGTATATTCACGTACCCGGATGTTCCATAGCAAACATGTGCAGAGTGATACGATTTTCTGCATATTTTTGTTTCAAAGGCTGAAAAGTCTAATAAATCATAATTCTATGTACAATTCTTTACCTTCCCCTAGTACTTCATAGTATTAATATCAATTCCCCCTTTAAAAATTATGACATATACATGCCAACGATGTGCTATTAGTCAATATTTTCACCATGTAATTTTTGTTTTGGTGTTGAAATCGGACCAGGCACGGAGTGAACAGTAGCTGTCTACCCATGCACAGTTCATTACCATACACTACAGCGATCTCCCGATGGTTTCTTCTTCCTTTTTCCCATGTCTTTCGCCTTCCTTGGCCCTGAAGATCCTTCATCTACCAATTCTGACACCGGTAGTCAGGAGCAAGTCTTTGTTAGTTGTTTTTCTTAGCTGGCAACGTCGCTTTCATTCTCTTGCAATTGCCGATAAACATATAACTAGCGCACGTACGTTCCATCACAAGCAAGCAGCGCCTAGAGCAGCTTCCGATTCTGCTCGCTTCACGAACGTTCATGCAAGAGCCGCATCACTCGCCAAAATATTATAGAGGAAGCGCGCTTGCATGATCTCGTTCAAGTTTGATATTTTACAACATAAAATGTTTAACTGGTACTGTATCCTTTTTTGATGCAGTCACACACATCTATGATCAGTACTATCATAGTTCTAGACCTATTCGTTTTACAAAACTGCTCCTGTACCTTATCTGATGACAATATAATGCATCCGCCTATTCATACGTGCACGATTTAACTTTAATTCCTAAGCAGTAAACTCGTCTTAAATCTCTACCAAATAGGTGAATATGAGGATATAAAAAGAAATTAGCGACTGGAAAATGTTGCTTCGTTATTCTTCATTCAAATGAAAACAGAAAATCCATCAAATATACTCCTTAACAACAACAAATCTAAGCTCTGACAGGATAGCATTTACGTAGGGATATCACTGCCATTCACTCTCACTGAGCCCATGAGTCCCGTTCGTGACGTCACGGATAGAGGCCCGACTCTACGTGCACTTCCGGGTTTCAGACTTAGATATTTTGGTAGAGTTTACTCGAATAAATTCATTATTCTAAACTTGTTTTGTCGGGTGGACACCATTTAGTGTTATTATGGGGGTTAAAAGCTTTCTATTTATGTAATTATCTCAGTATTTGGGATTGTCTTAGAGTATCAACTTTAAAGTGGGACTGCACTACTTGTAGCTACTTGCGCCCTCTATATAGCAAGCAATGCCTAATCGGTGACCATCGGTCCCCCATGGTCCCCTATTTATTATGTTAATTGAAAGCTGATTTGATGAGATATTCATCTCTCAGTGACCGTACAGGGAGGTCTAATCCTCCTGGTCAAACTAGTGCAGAGGGGCTTTAACACATAGCAGTTCCGGTTTTGGGGTTTTGTTTTCTAAATTAATCAGTTTTCTTCCTCATTCTTTTATAGTTTGAAAGAAAGGAAAGTGATAATTATATGAACCAATGTGAAAGAAAATTGCAAAATTTAACAGAAAGTTGCCAATTTGTTAACAAAATTAGTGATTAAAATTTTTCCTCTGCTTTGCCAATTTAGAGACTTTAATGATTAGTTTCAACTGAATTGCTCTAATTTGAGAATGGCATAATGTACTGCATTAGAAGTAGACTAAATTTTCCTGATTTTTTGTTGCTCTTTTTGCTCTAGTATAGCATGTAATTCCTGGCATTCTTGATCAACACATGACCCACCCATCTCAATTCCCTTTTCTTTACCACTTCCACTACATTTTCTTCTAGACCCATCCTTTCCATTAGCTCATTTGTGTTCTGTCTATTGGACAGTTTCACACAAGTATTATATGAAATACAATATATGCATTTATACACAGGATCGTAAGACAATTTATATACTACAGAATAATTTACTTTATAGATGCATCTGATGCAAAACTTTTTATGCTGAGTAATTTGTGATAGATATGTTGCAAATATCACATTTGGGCGCTGTCTTATAAAAGGGTTGCGATTGATTGCAAATAATTTGCAATCAATAACAATCGAAACTCTGCACTTAAGACATATGAGATGCAGTTGATATCAATTGCAATTAGCTGTCATCAATCACAACTTTTTTTTATAAGACGGGGGGTCAGGTTTCTTTTAAAAAAGGAAAGAAAGAAAGATATACAGTAGGCTTGCGGTTGCACCGTGTGAGAGAGGGAGAGGATCGGAGAGTCCTGAAAAGGACTCTCAGTAATCTTTCTTGAGGGTGTGTACCGGTAGTCCTGAAAAGGACTTGGTGTATTCTTGAAAAAGGCTGTTGGTTATCTTTCTTAACTTATAGTTCTAAGGAAAACTATAGCCCTGGTTGGAGAGGAAGGGAGGTAGGAGTGGATCAACGTTTCAAACAGGTTGACTATCCTCCCCCTCTCTCACATGGTGCATCCGCAAGCCTACTGTATATCTACATCACCATGCAAACTTCTACTTATAAGTAGCATCTAAAGAAAGAAAGAGTAATGAACTGTCCATGTTGTTGTTTTCAGGTGAAGCTGTTCTTTGCAAGAGGTCGTGAGGACCAGGTACCACCCACACCGGAGCCCAGCGAAGGCAACCTTAGTCCTTCGCAGAGTGAGAATGATTTACTAGATGATCAAGACCTTGATGACGGGACAGACTCAGGAGATGAAGATTGTATATATGAAACCAGTGAGTCTTCAGTCGTATGATAGCGGAACTGTTCGGCGGCGGCAGATTATTAACTATCAGTACAAAGAAATATTCCATGTATAGATAGAAGCGGAGGAACGTATATTATTGTTCTTGATAGACTGATTACCATATCTAGGAAAAGAGGACACAAGAAAGACTTTGTAATAGTGGACAGGGTGCTTGTACTTTGAAGAGACATGGCAAATGAACTCTAAGATTGTGCATCTCTGAGGGATGTTAGGATCCTTGGTTTTCCCCATCTTAACAAGCCTGTCTTGATCAGATGAGTAGCTCCTCAGTGGTACCATTACAGTACCTCTCATTCAGATGAGTAGTCCCTAGGTGGTACCATTACAGCCCCTCTTAATCATATGAGTAGCTCCTCAGTGGTACCATTACAGCCCCTCTTGATCAGATGAGTAGAACCCGGGTGGAATCATTACAGCCCCTTTTGATCAGATGAGTAGCCCCATAGGTGGTACCATTACAGTACCTCTTGATCAGATGAGTAGCACCTTGATGGTACCATTAGAGCCCCTCTTGATCAGATGAATAGACCCTGGGTGGTACCATTACAGCCCCTCTTGATCAGATGAGCAGCTCCACAGTGGTACCATTACAGTACCTCTTGATCAGATGAGTAAGACATAGGTGGTACCATTACAGTACCTCTTGATCAGATGAGTAGCCCCGGGGTGGTACCATTATAACCCCTCTTGATCAGATGAGTAGCTCCTCAATGGTACCATTACAGTCCCTCTTGATCAGATGAGTAGCACCTTGGTGGTACCATTACAGTACCTCTTGATCAGATGAGTAGCTCGTCAGTGGTACCATTACAGCTTCTCTTGGTCAGATGAGTAGCTCTTAGGTGGTACCATTACAGCCCCTCTTGATCAGATGAGTAGCCCCTGGGTGGTACCATTACAGTACCTCTTGATCAGATGAGTAGCCCCTGGGTGGTACCATTACAGAGCCTCCTGATCAGATGGATAGCTCTTTGGTGGTACCCTTACAGCCCCTCTTGATCAGATGAGTAGAACCCGGGTGGAACCATTACAGCCCCTTTTGATCAGATGAGTAGCTTCATAGGTGGTACCATTACAGTACCTCTTGATCAGATGAGTAGCACCTTGGGGGTACCATTACAGTACCTCTTGATCAGATGAGAAGCCACTGAGTGGTACCATTACAGCCCCTCTTGATCAGATGAGTAGGACATAGGTGGTACCATTAGAGCCCCTGTTGATCAGATGAGTAGCCCCTGGGTTATTCATGTAATGATACCACATTACACGATGACCTTTCAAACCCTAAGGCGATGCAGGCCCCCACCACCCTGATAAATGAAATATCTCCAACCAACTGGAGTGCTTTGCATGAGGAATAGATGCCAGTATTTTTACCTTCTTCATTTAAAGTACTAACGCAGTTTTGTGAAAGATCAATGATCGCATAGTTAAAACAATATGAGTGTGAGGCAATGTTTATTACTCAGATTACCATGAAGTTTCTAAACATCTCAGTATTTTATGTGTTTATTTTTTGTTCTGTGAATAATCAGCAGAATGGGTTTAAATTTACCCCAGTACCTATGTAGATAAATACTGTCTCACGAGAGAGAGCAAAATCCAAGCCCATTTTTTGTCAGAATTCATTGGAATTCATATTTCATGAATAGCTGTAATTCATTTTTTTTTATCCAACTTTTAATCAGTTAATTATCCTTAATCAATCTTTTTTTAAATAAATGTTATGAAGCACATTAAGATTTATTGATTCTTGATGTTATTATTGTACACTTAAGAATTACTGGACAATCAATTGAAAATCTTTCCAAGTCTTTTCTTTATCTAATCAAATCTAATTTAATCCAATCTAATCTAAACTAATCTTTGTGCCAGACTATGGCTTGAAATCAAAACTGTTGCATCTCCAGTCAAGTATTTAAACCACACGCATGTGACACCTAACATACCGTAGCACCATGACTTGATTCAAAGTACCGTCAAACCTGCTTTAGTGACCACCTGTCTACAAAGACCACATTTGTTGTTTCCCTTCAAAATGGTTTCTCATTGAATCATGTACTAAAGGAACCTATCTACAAAGACCACCTGTCTACAAAGGCCACTTTTTATGTTTCCCTTGTGTGGTCGCTATAGACAGGTTTGACTGTAATACTTTTCATAGCAATTTTGATCAGGATAAGGTCTTTCAACTTCAGAGAAACCTGAAAGCGAGATGATATTCAGAAATATATCTTGAAAGGGGGTTTTACTGTCTCTACTTTATGAATATTTAATATGACATAGGGAAATCAAAAGTATGAATGAAGTGAGTATTGATGATGGAATTGCAGCATACCTGTACTGCTGGTGGTCAAAGTGTGTGTAATCTACACCTAGAAAATGCATTCTTGTAATGCAGACCTGGGCCCGTTAAACAAAACTTACCATTGATAGTAACTTTGCTATCAATGGCAACTACCATGGTAACAGGGCTCAACAGCCAATCAAAATCAAGATTTCCAAGGTAGTTACCAAACTTACCATCAATGGTAATTTTTGTGCAACAGTGGTCCTTGTGTTTCAAACAGGTCTGATAACAAAAATTCATGTCAACAACAGTATGGAAGTTTTTTTTTTTAAAGGAATTCACATCACTCTAGCCCTGGGTCAAGAGAGGCAAAAACAGGCAAGCTGCCTTGGTGGTGAGATTGATGAAGTAATCGTTTATGAATACATGTGATGTGTAGAAAACAGATATGGAGGACCAAAACTAATGTAAGAAAGTTCAATTACTCTTCACCAAATATTCTGTTCTTGTATCATATAATAATTGTCATAAGTTTGCTCTCATGTTATTGTTAATCTCAATTTATTATGAATTTTAAAGTTATGGTAAGCCTTGTTCAGATAAGACTTGTCAAAGCCGTGGTGGGTTTTCGTTGATGATGTGAAGTGTGATATGCGTCATATTTCTGTATCTGAATACATACGCGCGTTACCATTGTCGTGCGCAGTTGCCGTTCATTTACACGCTTAAAAAACGTTTTAAAAACGCGGTGGCTCTTCTGCGGCGGTTTACCTGGTCTTATCTGAACGAGCCTTTATACTGATTGTTGTGATTTTGAAACACATTCCATCGGGACCTCTGATAACTAACATGAACACCTGGATAGACAGCTTACAGACTGATGCTGTTTCCATGGCTACGACATCGTCCATTGGCTGCATCATAGGATGAGAAGATGAGCTCCTCGGGTTTTAGAGTGACGTCAAAGTCGTTCTAGTTTATACTGCTCTGAAGTAGAATGGTCAGTACTTGGCCGTTTGTTAAACATTGTACGAAAAATGATACAACTCAACTTTGTTCACTTTCTTCCATTTGATCCCCGATAAATTATTGTGCTCCGTTAGGTAAGAACATGGGATTGGTACATTGAGGAAACGAAAAAAGGATCGGTACCTGAAGACGTGTTTCCATTCCCCTTGGTGTGAGAGAAATCCGTCTGATCGGTCTTCGCTAGGTATGATGTATTACTCAGTATTAGGTATTACTTTGTCAAGCATTGTTTAGAATCGATGTATTTATTGCTTTGACAATCCTTCCAAGTGTTGTGGATCAGTTTTATTTCAATGATGCATGATGGGTGATTACTTGGAACTATAGCTGGCAGCAGACTGGAAGGTTAACAAATCATTGATTTATTTATAAGGCTATTTAGTGTTAAATGAAATGAATACAGCGCAATGGTTTATGTACCGCAGTTATAAAAAGTATAGTTTTTGCAAAGAACAACAAAACTTTCTGCCTGATTTCTCATATTTTAATGATAAAAAAACAAGATATTTAATGTTCTAGGGGGCTGTAAAAGCAAATAATTACCTCCTTAATCAAAATATTGATGAGATTAATTACCATCTTGGACCAGGTCAGGATTTAAAGAGTACCAAGCACATATGGAAATAAAATTGTGTACGGCTAGGAATATGTATGAAATAAAGCTCAAAAACTTTTAACCGGCATTCTATTGGCCAAAGGATGAAAAAAAGAAAGAATAAAAATCAAAAACCTGCACATGGAACCCAATTCAAACTACTTCATGCGAGTGGGTTGTCGTCGTTGTTTAGGTTTATAGGCATTTATATCATTCAGGAGTAAATATTTACGCCATATTTACAGGTGTATCGACTAGTCTACCCACAAGTCACCTTTATATCAATTATAACTCTTTACAGCAGTAATTTTCATAGGTCTTTAACAAAATATATATTGTAGCGACATGGAAGCGCTAACATACAGAACAAAATATTTTGTTTGTGATTGGTACTCTTTAAGTCCTTACATGTGATATAAAAGGTGTAATTGAAATAGAATTATAATAAAACCTGTACTTTGCCTCGTATGAACACCTCCAAGATGAGAGCATGGCATGCTAGACATAGCGTGTGAAGCAAGGTAGCCATGACTTAGAGATGTTCACACTCAGATGCAGGGAAATCAAGAACAAACTACGACAAATATCCGGCCCATGTATCACTTTTCGTACTCTTTATCCATCCTATGTGAAATCGTATAAGTTTCATTCGGTTCCATCTGCTACTATTACTGTATCGTACTACTTCTGTGACTATATACATGTATGTCCATGCAATGTCATGTGACCTACTGAAGGTGTCATGTGACCTACTGGAAGGTATCATAGTTTGGTCATGTGACCTATTGGAAGGTATCATAGTTTGTACTAGTGTGCATATGGAGTGTGCAGTGAAACATGGATTTTCATTGAAATTTATGTTGCTACCAATGTCTCCCTTTAAGACTACTGTGTGAGTCAAAAACAGTTTACACCTAGAAAATTGCTCATTATTTCTACAATCATCTATGAACAGTAAATTATTATACATCTTATGAAAGACTGTTTTATCCTAAATCATTAAGTATCATTTTTGTGTGGTATGTGTTCACGCTTGGATGAACAGGAGGCATTGCTCGCGAGAGTGCAAAAATCGACTGGCGCCAAAATATCAAATCATTGACCATGACTACTGTTGCATTTTCACCTTAATTGATTTATATTTCCTTC